GTGGATATTTTTATTTAAAAACGAGTCTTTTGGATAATAGACCGCAGACACTCGAGATACCTTTCTCTGAAGAGCAGTGATGCTTGTTTCAGCAGGCAGTTCAAACTCCGGCACATTGCCTGGGACTTGCGTTAAACTTTACAGGCACAGAGCCGTGGAAACCCACCGTGTTTGCCAGACCCCTCAAATCTGCAGAATCAAGCCCCACATCCTGTCTTCCCTGCAGCTCTCCTCAGAATTTGGTTCTAGGCTTTGTCAGGGCTGGTTTCACTTGGATCATACTTTAGAGCATGGTCCTTGCTAATAGAACCAGAGGCCAGCAGCTGCCGACACCCCCCCTCCCCACCATCACCCCCGCCCTGCAGCAGCAGCAGGCTCGGGCCTCAGCAGTGATGGTGAGGGGTTAGTTGTGTTGTGCACAGGGTCTCTGTGAGTCAGAGCCAACTGGGCAGCGTCGGACAGTAACTGCTCTTCTCTCTCTGGAGCTCTGTCCCTCTCCCAGGCCGCCTGCAGCTGCGCTCTGGTCAGCCTTGGGGGACATGCATAGCACAGCCCTTGGCTGCCCGTGTATGGTCACCCCTCAAGTCCTCTGCATAGCTCCCTCTTCTGCAGCCCCCACCACATGATTCCAGCCCGTCTTCACTCTGCAGGTGCCTGCGCAGACTGCAGCTCTGTGCCAGGCGCAGGAAATTACACCATCAGGTCTGGTGGACCGTGGGCCCAGGGACTGAGCGCAGTTTTCACATCTCTTGTGCACACTTGCCCCCCTTGTTTGGCCAGTTTCATAGCTGTTTACAGAGGGAGTGCTAGTCTCATTTCATTACTCCATCTTCCCAGGATTCCCTGATTAGAGAACGTGTTATAGGCACCCCTGGGCTCTGGACATAGGTTTTGACTTCCTACTGGACCAACAATGTGAAGGGCCCTGGTTGGGCTGCCAGTCACACAGTTCAAACCCACCAGCGGCCCTGTGGAAGAAAGAGGAGGCTACCTTCTCCATACAGTTTTGGAAACTCTATGTAGGTTCACAATGAATTAGAATCAACTCAATGGCTATGGGGTTTTGGTATGGTACCAGCTATTGGTACCATTGGTTGGTACCTCCCATGGTTGGTGAGTCCATGGTTGTGTATATGGTTGTGTGTTAGGCCACTAATCAAATGGTTGGTAGCAGCTCAGAAAAAGGCCTGCTTCCTCCTAAGGGTCACAGCCATGAAAACCCCCTGTGACAGAGGCCCCCACGCGTGGGGATTGAACAGACAGCAGCAGTTGGTTTTTCTGGTTTGTTGCTGCCCATGGATGACACTGACTGCCCTGGGACATGCTCACCCTGACCTAAAACTGCGTGCAGAACTTTCCCGGAGGGAGGAGCACCTCACTCCACCTGTTCCTTTGCAGAGGAGGAAAGGCTAGTAGCAGGTGGTCCTCGCCGATCTTTGGACAGGTGTGGGCCCTCATTCTATGGTGGGACCAGCCCAACCCCTCACCCAGAGTTCCTGAGCGGCTCTACTCTGGCCCATGGGGTCTCGGTGAAGTGGAATCGGCTCTGACTTTGGGTTTGTTTGTTTGCGTCCTGAGTTTTTACAAGCGTAAGTGGGTTCTTCGGAACCTCGGAGAGCTCAGCGAGGCCCAGCTGGAACCCCGGTGGCGGGACTGGAGCTGCATCGCTCCTGATGCGTCCCCTGCCCATCTAGGAAGCGCGTCACGTGGCCGTGAGCAGCACCCCGTCTGCACTCGTAGGCACCAGAAGGAAACGGCCTTGGTGGTTTCGATGGCAGCATTGAGTGGCAGTGTGTGACATCAGAACGCCTGGAGCCCCAAACAGGTGCCCGCCCTTCACGTGGCTGTAAGGCAGCGTCTCCGTGACCTGCTGTGGGCACAGCACACCCTCAGACCGCCCGACGCCCAGACTTCTACACCGGCAGCCACTCCGACAAGAGAAGCTTCTGTCGTTCTCTGTGTTAGGACATTCTCACCACTCAGATACTGCCTGTGGTCCAACCAAACATCTGACAGACGTGGGCTTCTACGGGATGGTTCTGGGACGTAAACCTGAGAGCCATCCCTGTGCCCCATCTGGCTCGTTGCTTCTTCCTGAAGATTGTAGACCAGGCGCAGTCAGTTCCTGGGCGCTGGTGGCCGAGCAATTGGAAAGCTAACCACAAGGGCAGCAGTTCAAGCCCACTAGCCGCTCTCGCCCTGCAACGATGGGCTCAGGCCTGAGAACGATGTTGAGGACGGGACAGGACCAGGCACAGGGTCGCCGTGGTTTGGGACTGACAGGGTGGCCCCCAACAACAATAGCCGCTCCTTGCAAGAAAAACGAGCCTGTCTGCTCCCAAAAGATGTACGGCCTCAGACACCCCCCAGAGGGTCACTGTGAGTCAGAATTGACTCCACAGCAGAGCTTGAGGGTTTTTAGTGGACTGTCTAAAGAATTCCAGAAGAGCGCTTGGCAACGCCGTGGTTTAAATGTTGGGCTGCTAACCGCAAGGTCGGCCATTCAAACGTACCAGCCATGCTACAGGAGAAAGATGAGGCTGGCAGCTCTTGTAAAGATTTACAGAAACCCTAGTGAGCAGTTCTCCGCCCCAGAGGGTCGCTGTGCATGGGCATGCGCTGGAAGGCAGTGGGTTTGGCTCCGGTTGGTTTCCAGGGCTTCAGCTTCGCCTCCTGTAGAGGAGGGTGGTGGCAATGTCTCCCTCTGCTGGTCGTCCAGGGAAAAGCCAGGAAGCGGGCCGGTGGAGTGAACCTGGGCTGTGGGGAGCAGGGAGGAGAAGCAGGAGAGGAAACAGGTGGAACGGGGGCGGAAATCGGGGTAGGGGAGGGGGGTTGATGGAAGGAAAGGATGGAGGGCAGAGAGGGAACAAGAACCAGTGAGGCCCGAAGGAAAGAAATTAAGTTGAAAAATCAACCCAAACTGGGGACAAGGAAGCCAGAAGGCCCGGTGGAAAGGCACTGAGAAACGCTGCCTGTGGACCCTCCTCTCCGCCGAAGCAAACCCCAGCCCAGGGCCAGCGAGCCCCACCACAGACCGTGGGACTGCCCCCACCACACCCAAGCTGGCTCCCTTCAAGCAGCTGCTGAATTCGAACCAACCACCTCGGTTAGCAGCCGGGCGCTCAGCCACTGTGCCACCCACGCTCATTGTCATCTTCCCGGTCACCCGGAAATCGCGCCACGGCACCGCTGAGGGCCTCAGGTGGGATGGCAGTCTGAGCGGAGAGTGGGAACGGAGGAGAAGCCCTGCCCTTTTCTTTCAGCCCATGTCCCAGCTCCCAGGTCACGTGTTGTCTGCCCGTCTGCTGGTCTTTTCCCTAAGAAGCTGTTTGGAGCAGGCAGTGTTAGTGTTAGGACCATCCATCCGTCCCCCGTGGCTGGAGTCTCTGCCTCGCCCTTGGCTAGGATCTGACGGGGTACCCTTGTCCCCTGTTTCAGTGGCACGTGTGGGCCAGGAGGAGGTCAGGGGTGGGGAGGAGTGGGGGGTGGTCTCTGTTTGCCCCCAGATGGACTTGTCCTTCGAGACGGAAAGCCTTTTGTCCATGGCCGATGTTGTCAAGACAAGGAGATGCCAGCAGGATGGAGACCAGCAGCTCTCAAGTGTCGGCTGCAGGGGACGTGAGGAGCTGACGGCTGTGGATGTGGGAAGTTATATCCACGGGAGCTGTGGTGCCAGAGTGGGCTACTCACTGAACTGCTGACCGCAAGGTCAGAGTCCAGAACCACCAGCCAAGGCAGAAAGATGCGGCTTGTGCTCCCATGAAAAGTTACAGTCCCGGGAACCCACGGGTCCGTCGCCATGGTCACGAGTTTGGTTTGGGTTTTAATAAAGCAACGTGAACTGTATCAGGAGAAATCATAGGACTATACTCGGGGGGACAGTCACCCTCGAAGGTGTTCAGACAAATCCTCGTCGAGGAGGAACTTCAGCGCAGGGTTGAACGTGACCGTTTTGAGAAAGTTGTCACGTCTTCCGGTGGCTGAGAAGAGCCTGGTGGGTGTGGTTGCCAGGACTGCTCGCTGAAAACCACCAGACTCCGTGGGAGAAAGACGGGCTTTCCACTCCCGTCCGGAGTGCGATCGCAGGCACCCACGGGCAGTTCCACCGTGTCCTGCAGGGCCGCTGTGCGTGGGCAGCCACCGGTGGTACTGAGCGTGATTTTGGTTTCCTCGATGGCACTGTCGTTCTTTGTCATGATTCAGTCCGTGAGCTTCAGCCTGACAGGCCAGCAGGGCCTTTTCCACAGGGCTCTGGCTTTGACCCGTTCCACGTTGACCCCGTCAGAAACCAGAAGGACTGCTGGAAAGAGTTCAAGTGGGAGGAGCCGTATGTAATTGGGAGGTGGGTCCTAATAGGACAAGCCCACTGGGTTTCTGAGACTTGATGTCTCTATGGGAACAGGCAGCCTCATCTCTACATTAGACCGGGTTTCCCAGTGGGCAGGACCACCCCCTGGGGGGCACTCGAATGATTCACTCAAAACCTCACACTCATTGCACTGGGTCAATGTGGGCTTAGTGGGTTATGTGTTGGGCTACTCACCTCAAGGCCAGCAGTTCAAAACCACCAGCGACTCTTCTCAAAAACGACAAGGCTTTCTACTCCTGTAATGAGTTATAGTCTCAGAAACCCACAGGGGCAGTTCTACCCTGACCTATAGGGTCGCTATGAGTAGGAATGATGGGGGGAGGGGTAAATACAAAAGCAGGTGCCTACACTTTATCCTGGGTTGTGAGCCATGGTGCACAAATTGTCACTTGCCAGGGACAGGGGCACTGAGTTCAGTAGTGTTTGCTTTGGTTTTCTGGAAAGGGCGCTGGGCCCAGCCAGTGTGGAAGCCTATGTCCCAGAGGAAGCCAGCGTCTGCCGCGTGCTCCTGCCGCCCACCTGGCTCAGCCGCACTAACACGCCTTTCTCTTCTCTTCTCCCGCCCTCCCCTCACCCCGCCCCCCTCCATTCTGCCTCTTCGCTCTCACCCCTTGCTGCTGCTGCCCACCAGTGTGACCAAGACCAGTGCATTCAGAGCACCAAATTCGTCTTGCAGGCCGCGGCCACGCCCCTGCTGCAGAGCGAGCCGAGCCTCACCAGCGACGAGCTGCACCTGCCCGGCAAGGCCAGCCTGGGCACGCCATGCAGCAGCCTGACCCTGGGCCCGCCCACGCCACCCTCCTCCATGCCCAACCTGGCCTCTGAGGCCGCCCTCACGGACCTGCTGCCCCTGAAGGAGGAGCGCACGGGCCACCAGTTCCTGACGCCCGACGAGGCCCCCTCCCCGCCCCGCCTGCTGGCGGCCGGCAGCCCGCTGACCCACAGCCGCACCATGCACACCCTGGGCCTGGCCAGCCAGGACTCTCTGCACGAGGACTCCGTGCGTGGCCTGGTCAAGCTCAGCTCCGTGTGACACCCCCCGCAAGCCGCCCGAGCGAGCGACAGGCAGGGACGGTGGGCAGACGGACAGACGGCACGCTGAGACTCCCGCCGGCCAAGGGCAAGCGGGGAAAATGACCACAACACGCTGGAAAGGGTCCGTCCAGGTCTGATGGCGGCTGGGCAGGGCGGGACCCAGAAGTCTTCCAGACCTGGGGGTGGTTTCCGCCCCCACCCCGATGGCTGGGAGAAGGATGGACAGAGAGAAGAGGGTCTTTGTGGTGTTTGGGATTGAAGGGTGGGCAGGGGCGGGTGGCCCTCCAGTCATCTGTGGCACCCTCGTCCTTGGTCCTTGTGACAAGCGCGCCAGGCTTACGACGCTTGTTGCCGATGGACGCGTACTTCCGTGTTATGCTGCTCATGCTCGCAGCAGACGACTGTTCTGCCGGGTGTGAGTTACCAGCGAGAACCGGCAGGGAAAGGGCGGACCAGCTGGGGCTGGCGTGCCTGCCGACCATGCCTGCCGTCAGCCTGTATGGAAACGGAAATGCTGCTTACTGTTTTTTAATTTTGTGACTCTCCAAGTGCTGTTTTATTGGAAGACAGTGCCACAGGCCCGGACGAATGGAGGAGGGACCCCGGCTATGGTCAGCTCAGCTCCGTGATGGTGATGGGTGGTATGGGGTGGTGCCCGGCTCCCTTGGGCCACTGAGCATGGGTGGTGTCCAGTTTCACGTTATCTTCTGTTTAGATAAAGGCATTGTGTCCCGCAGCCCTGGGGACCTGGCCTCCTGGGTGATGAAACTTCCTGTGGACGTCCAATAAAATGACCTCTGTGCTTCTGGGTCTGCGTGCGCTCCGCCTGGGCAGCGTGGAGGGACAGACACCGGTCTGGAGGGCACCCTAGCCAAGGGAGGAGGCCCTTACGGGAGCCAGCAGAGTGTGGTGGCTGAGTCCACCCAGTGCTGCCGCAGAGGAAAGGTCTGGCAATGGCCTTCCATAGTGAGGTCAGCCTGGGGAGCCCCAAGGTGCTCGGTCCCACCCTGTCCCGCCCAGGGTCGCCACAATGGGGATGCATTCTAGCAGGCAATGAGGAGCCCAGGGTAACTCAACCTCAAACCTTTGACTAGTGCGGTGTTTCTGGGTGAATCCGGCCCATCAGAGTAGCTTCTCCCCAGGTTTTGCCCTGACCTCCTCTGAGGAACTCAGTCCCTGGGGGATACAGAGGGAGCCCTGGACGCCCTGTGGGTAGGGCACTGGGTTGTTCACTGCAAGGTCGGTGGTTCAAATCCACCAGCCGCTGCTCAGGAGAAAGATGAGGCTGTGTCTCGGGAACCCTCTGGAACAGTTGTGCTCCATCTAACAGGGTGCCGAGTCAGTCAGCTCGCCCGCAGTGGCTGGGGTACAGTTAGCACGCTCGGCGGTCACGTGAAAAGCGAAGTTCCCCCAGGCACCACAGAAGAAAGGCCTGGCTGCCTCGTCCTGAAAAGCAGCCAAGGAAAATCCTGCGGGCACTTCTACTCAGGTGCACATGGTGGCGCCACGTGCTGGGGCTGGATTTCAGGAGAGGGATTTGCTTCCTGTCCTCCATGCCAATGAGAATAGAGAGGCCACCCCCGGAACAGGCACCACGAACACGCCCCTCGTGATGCCGCCATGGCGTCACGGGTCACCAGATCCCCAGAGAGCCCCATGAGGTCTGGGGAAGGGGTCGGGGATTAGGGATTGAGGAGGAGGGACTGACCCGACAGTGAATCTGGACACAGTCCAGAAAGGTCCCTCTGCACTCAGGTGTCCATACTGGCCGGGAGGATGCTGCCTTGTCCCTTCAAGGGTGAGTGGATTTGCAGGAGCTCAGCAGGTCCCCCCGCCTCCACCCAAAGGCTGAAGCCAGCCAGACCCCCTCCGGCTCAGAACACACTGGCTCCCAACCAACTACCAAAGACAAGGCCAGGCCCCGCCTCTGGTTGCACTTTCGGGGAAAGGACCGTTGTCCTGGGGAAAGCGGTGCCGGTTTAGAGACGCGGTCCGGCGGGTGTGACACAGGTCAAGTTTTGTTTGGAATTGAGTGTCTCGTCAGGGCGGAACAACTACTGGTCCAGGAGAATTGCGCCTGTGGGAGAGCACCGTGGCGTTCGTGCACCCAGTTCACGTTTGACCCTCTTCATTCCCCCACGTTCTGAGGATGGAGAGGCGAGCTGTGGTGGCCGTGGGCTCTCTTCTGGATCCCCTGGTTATTTGTACCCCCGTTGTCCTTCCCCGCGGAGGGCCAGAGCTCCTCCGTCAGCCCCCCACACTCACTCAGGCCCTTAGGCACCAGCTCACAGGGACACAGACTCACAGGACACGGGCGTAGTCACAGGAACACAGGCTTACAAGACAGAATCAGGACACAGACTCACAGGGACATGGGGACACCAGCTCCTAGGAAGCCTGCATAGACAGCTTGGAAGCAAAGTGCCCATCCCCCATTGGTGTGTGCCCTCATCACACGTTTCACAATTCCCCACCCCTCTACTTCCCTCCTCCCACCCGCTCCGAGAACCCATTGGAAGGCTGCCTCCTGAGGAAGATGACAGCAGTGTGGGGTGACAGGGTGGCCCTGCCCTGACTCTCCAGCCTTCCATTTCTGCACCTGGACAACCAACCCGGGATGCTCAGGGGCTCCGGTCTGTTGTGGGGTGCTGACACCCAGCAGTCCTGTGGACCAGCTCCATCTTGAGCCCCTCCATGGTAGCGCTGCTTGCTGCAGCCATGGGGTGAATCCGTCTCCTGAGGCCTCCCCCTCTTCCATGTCTGTTTCTGATTCAGTGGCTGCTGACTTCCGGGGGCCAGCCCGTCCTCTCCCCTCCATGGGAGAAATGCCAAGAAGCAAGGACCATGATCCCCGGGCTTCACAGACAGCAGCCTTACCTCATTTACCATCGGTCACCCAAGCCTGCACTCCATACCATCCATCCAAGAGGCCAGGCCTCTGCGGCTGGAGGAAAGCCAGGAGTCTGCAGAATAAATGATTCCCTTGGGTGGTGCTCCAGCAGTGGCCCTGCTATGGGTGGCAGGCCTGCGGTTCCCAATGGGTTCCTGTTTGACGTGGTGTGGTTCCATCTGCCGCGGCGGACGGCCCTCAACATGCCCCCACCCCCACCCCCCCACCCCCCGTGTGTCCGCACTGCGAGAGGACATAAGATAAATATTTCCCCGCATTATTAGGGCCTGGCCGTTACCGAGCACACGCGTTTACAAAGTCATCTGCTCACGGGCTCCCAGGACCTCTCAAGGGCCCTCGACGCCTGGGAGCCTGCTGGGTGCCCAGCCCAGGGGGTGGGGTATGGGGTGGGGTGCCAGGGGGCACTGACGCAGTGAGGGTCACAAGCACCCCCCACCCTCACCCCAATTACAAGCAGTGGTGAAGAAATACTGTCCCTCTTGGTCATGGCCTTTCGTATCTGTGGCACCTCATCTAGGCGCCCTTGGACTTGACCTGGGGAAAAATGTCCCCCGACTGCCTGCCCCCACTTCTCTATGTCCAGCGTCAGGGAAGGAGGGGCCTGGACCACACCATTCCGTGGCTCCCAGGGCCCCTGCCTTGCCTTAGCCACGCCTGCCTGCCCTACTGTGGCCTGGTGCTGGTGGGGTGCTCCTCAGCCCTTCTCCCCACCCCAGGCAGCCCAGTGCCAGGGCCCAGTCTGGCCCCCAAGGGGCACAAAAGCAGCAGCTCCCCTCCCCCTGGGCAGGGCAACAGCTCTGCGTGTGGACAGCGCCTGCTGCAAGGGCCCCCACGAGAAGCAGACCCCCACCTGGGGCTGGGGTGGGGCAGGACCCTCGGGAACCCTTCCCTCTTCGTGCGAGCAAGGTGGACATTCCACAGTAGCCACAGGTGTGCTTGACACTGTGGCTTCTGAGGACATCGAGGGGCACTTGGCACAGCCTCTGGAGTGTGTGGGGGAGGGTGGGTGTTAGTCTGGGTTGACTAGAAGAACCAATCCAGAGACATATGTGTGTAAGAGAGTTTTAGATCCAAGAGTAATTGTATGTTAAGAAAACATCCCAGCCCAGTCCAGATCAATCCCATAAGTCCGATAGTAGCCCATTTGTCCGATACTGGTCCATAAATTCTTCTACAGATGCACGCAACATATGCAGTGATGCAACATGCAGGAAAATCATAGACCAGTGGGTGGAAAGTCTGTGGACCCAGTGGTGGTGGAAGCATCTCAGCACTGGTGTGGGTCTCCACGTGGCTTCTCCAGCCCCAGGGCTCTGGCTGCCATCAGCGTGGCTCCATGTGGCTTGTCCACAGGAATGTCAAGCAGAGAGAGTGCCCCGCCTCCAGGGAGGAAGATGGGAGTTTCCAGAATCTTCAGGAGAAGGCTGTGCCCACACAGAGGCATCATTGGCCATGACCTGATTGACAGGCTAGACTCCCCCCCCACCCCCCCACGCTCAGGTTGACAGGAGATGATGTAGCTGCCACAGGGGCAGCCCCAGGGTCCCTTCCGAGCGTTGGGGTGGGGGTCCTGGCTCCCCACAGCGCAACCTGCCTAACTTGACTGCCCCTTTCTGGCCACCCTGCTGCCAACCTCGGTGCCAAGAATCCACCACTGATTGGCCTGGCCGTGGGGTCTGGGTGGGGTTCTAGCAACGCAACTGTCCGGATTTCCCAAGCCCCTCTGCCCCCACTCCCACCCTGTCTTCCTTTCACCTAGTGGGTGCTCTGCTGAACCCGTTCCGAGGCACGGAGGGAAGGGAACCTGCTCTACACGCTTGTCTAGTGGGTTCTGGAAACTGTTCTGAAGCTGGACTTAAAGCAGACAGATGTTTACATGTGTGTGAGTTGCAGCCATCTAGTATCTATTTAGTCCAAGAAAGAGCGCCCTTCAAGTGGACCCTATCCTTCCGGGCCCTTCCCCACCCTGGGCGTCCTGGCATTGCAGCACTCCATCGTTCGTCCCCACAACACGCGTGTCTGTCTCCGTCTGAAAAGAATCCGTTGCCGTGGAAACAGTAAAGGGATGAACATCGCTCTCAGGCCCATCAGGGTCAGAGGCACTGGGCAGTTTTGTCCACCGGTGAAGCCGCCGCCCACAACTGAGACCGCAGCCCAGGGGGCTGTTCCACAAGAAGTGGGTAGAATCCAGCCATTCAACATAACGGGGAGAAGGCCGGTGAGGCGGTTTCCAGAGCAACCGAATGTGCAGCTGCCATAAAACAAGACAGACGGCCTCTGCTGTGGAATCATTCTCCAGCTCAGCGATGCCGGGAATTAGCACGAGGGGCAGGCGGGGCGGCGGAGGGTTGAGGCTGCCTCAAGCAGTTTTCTGACCAGCCAGCGTTGAGTTTCGAGAGAACCTGGATATTGGTGATGAAGATTTTAAAACCACCAAGCAAACCCCAAGCTCACTGCCCCCTCACAGTGACCCTAGAGGACAGGGTGGAACGGCCCCTGTGCGTTTGGGAGACTCAGTTTTCATGGGAGGAGAAAGCCTCATCTTTCTCCCCCAGAGCGGCGGTGGGTTTTGAACGGCTGACCTTGTGGTTAGCAGCTCCACGAGTAACCCACACGTCACTGTCCACAGTTCTCTGGGTTGCCCTTGCCAGCTTAAGATGCGTCCACGGAGAGACCATCTGGCGGCACCAAGGAGAACGGCTCTCTGCTCTTCACACGTGACCGAGATGGCAGGAGCCTCTTGTAAAACTTGACTTTGCAGCCTTCGCTGACCCTTCACCCGGGGCACTGGGGTTGGGATTTCATGAGTTAAGTTTTGTGGCATAGGAAAAAAAAAGTCGGGAGGGTGGGGGGCGGGGATGTGTACACAAGAAGGGAATGTTGGCACGCCC